CTTCAAAGGTCACTCTTCAGAATATAATTTTACATAGAATCTATAACAAAAACATTCAAATACTGTTATTCAACTAAACATAAATAAATTGAATTAAATACATCTACTTTCCAAATGTAAAACCACATAATACATTCCTTGTATAAATTAAGTACATATATATTTAAAAAATGCTCAAAAATAAATAAAATTAGTTAGTTTGTGAAATATACTTTCCTTCTTTAATTCAAATCTTATTCTAATTATATTTTCTCTTGTTATTATAGAAATGCAATTTATTCCATAATATTTCATAATACTTCTTACTTACTCTGTTGTTCTTTTTGTAATTCTTTGTAATAGTTTCTGTAGTTTCACAGTTCCAGTTGACTTTACACAACACTGCTACTTCTGCCCTCTTATATCTATCTATTTAAAGTGGCACCAAAAATAATTATGAAATATTTTACAAAATTGTTTATACCTTTTGTAATGACGTATTGTCCATATATATATATATTGATAAGTAATATAAACAATTTAAAAAAAATAAGGATGATGTAGGGATGGAAATGTCAAAAAGTACAGAAACAAGAGGGATGAATACACAAAACCGTACAAAAATTCCTACGTAAGTAGCTAAATCTTTCCAAGAAAAACTTTTATCTACAACTAAATGTTGAATTCCTTTCATTTCCATGAATTAAGGTTTGAATAAAAAAATGTTTAAACTGAATAATGTTACAAAATCTTACAATGGCTGATTCCCATAAGCTTATAACATTGACACTGTAGCTACTTGTGTAGGGAGTTTTGTATGGTTTTTATGTTCATCCCTAACATGTTTTTGTACTTTTTGGTATTACCATCTCTACATCATTCTTATTTTTTTCAAAATTGTTTTTATTACTTGTTTCCCCTGTGTTTTTAAACAATACTAATGAATATTTTATAATGAATGGCAGTTGCTATGAAGGCAGCTGTTTAGGCCTTGTGTGATGAGTTGTCTTGATGGACATCATGTGTTGAAGTTAGTGAAATGCTATACTGCTTCTGCATTCCCCAAGTTAAAATGCAACATTATGGTGTGTAAATCATTGCAACAACTTCAAGCATTGGTGAGCTAGCCCTTCTGATGCCAGAATCAGAATAATCAGCAGAACTTTGGCTTTTACACTAATCCTCGGTTCTGTACTTCAACAATGTTTTTTGGCTAAATTGAAGGTCTTAGTAGTTTTTGAAAGACCTCAAAATCCTAAGTTAGGTGCTTATAAATGTCTCTTAGATTGTTATAAGAGAGATTTGAGACTATGATGAGCAATACATAATATGCATCAGACGTTTCTTTTCCCGGCCCATCTCTACATATTAAGCTCTACTGTGCTTATTGATATTTCATTTGTTAATACATAATTAAAACAGATAGTAGATAAAAAAAACAAAAACTGAAAGATGTATTCAAAGATAAAATTATTTTATCCAAAAACAACTTAAAAATTTGTATAGATTATTTAATAAATCTAAAAAAAGAAATTTTTCTAAGGAAGATATTTTCAGTTGGGAAAGAAAGAATTGGGCTTTATGTAATTTATGTTACATAAAAACTACAAAAACAACAAAGAACAATAGTAAAGATATTTTGTTTTTCATCAATAACTCATTTAATTGCAGTTCTAAGAAAGTAATACATGTTTTAGAATGTGTAAATTGTGTTGAATTCTATGTTGGTGAAACCAGAGGTGTAGGAGGCAAATTAAAAGTGGGAGGGCAAGGTTTATTTGAGTAAGTGAAGTGAGGGAATATGCACCACAGGTGCACGCATTATGGCTGGTCTTAGGGCCCTGGAAGCTCTTGGGTACTGGATTAAATTTTATGCATTCTCTTGCTTTTTCTTGACAGAAATTTTCCTAATTTTGATGCATTTTTACTGGAATAGATTGAAAAGTGGGAGACTATCTACACTACTGGGTGAAATAGATAATTTAAGATTAAGGATAAGTTTTCATAAATTCCATGTTAGATGTCCTGAAAAAAGCCCATTATATGCCAACAAACATTTTAAAGAATGTATTCTGAGAATATTTAAAATTCTAAAAGAAACATATTTTCATGTTTTCCCTTTTTGAGCATGTAATGTAAAACATAGAAAATTATTTTTGAAAAACTATTTCATAATATTTTGGGCGCTTCTTTAAATATTAGGTCATCAAGAAATTAATGTCGCTATTTTAAGACGAAAAACCCAAACAACTATATATCAAAACAAAACATTTATTAAATGAAATAGTCTCCATTCTTTTCCATCTTACAATCAGGTTGTTAATGCCCTGACTAAAGAAATCACTTGGCTTCGAAGCAAAAAACATGTTTATGTCCTCTTTAACACCTTCCACATTTGCATACTTTTTCCCATTAATATGGTGTTGCAGCGAACGAAAAAAATGGTAATCTGATGGTGCCATATCTGGAGATTATGGTGGGGATGGGGGAGAACTTCCCAACCCAACTTCATAATCTTGTGTTGCGTTAAACGTACCACACGTGGACGTGCTTTGTCGTGGAGAAGAAGAATACCTTTCCGATTGACGAGTAAAGGGCGTTTCTGATGAAGGGCTTGATTTAAACATTCCAGTTGCTGACTATAGATCTTTGCATTGACAGTTCACTGTGGATCGAGGAGTTCGAAATGAATTACCCCTTTGATGTCCCATCCAATGCAAAGCATCACTTTCTGCAGATGGAGTCCAGGTTTTGGGGTCAGAAGTGGTTTTTGTCTTGGACTGAGCCATTGTTTTTGGCATTTAATTTTCACATAGAGGATCCATTTTTCATCACTGGTGACAATTCTGTCCAAAAATGGTTCACACGCATTACCCGCCAGAAGAGATGAATCAATGCTCACACGTTGGAAATGATGATCATCGGAGAGTTCGTGAGACACCAAAGCACCTTTTTATGGAGTTTTCCCATATTCCTTAGATGTTATCGTATTGTTTCATTAAATGCACAAAATTTCAGGGCCATTTCATGAGTGTGTTGCCTTGAATTAGACTCAACAAGTGTCTTCAGAGCATCAATATCAATTCCAATATGTCGGACCCTGCCATCAAAGTTTTTAAGGCTAACGTCACCCAACCGAAATTTGCTGAACCATCGTTGACACTTACGAACGTTCAAAATATTTCCATAAACTTCTTTAATATTCTTTGTGGCTACAGAGGCGTTGGTTCCCTTCTTGTAGTCAAACAGCATTATATGCCGAATGTTTGTTTCATCGTGTGCCATCACTATAAGGGATTAGAGTATACTAAACTTTGCACATTATATAGGCTACACTAACATGATGTACATTTTTTTGGAGGGTAGTTAATGGAAGTGTTCCAAAATGTGACATTAATTTCTTGACGACCTAATAGATGGAGGTAAGCAGAAGTAGCAATGGTTGTGTAAAGTCAGTTGGAATTACAAAAAGGACAATAAAGAAAGTAAGAGGTATTAAATTATTAAAGATTATGGAATAAATTACATTTCTATAATACTAAAAGAAAATCAAATTGGTATCAGATTTTAATTTAAAAAAGGAAAGTATATCAGATAAACTTTGATTTTATTAATATACTTAATTTGTACAAAGAGTATATTGTATGGTTGTACATTTGGAAAATACATGTATTTAATTTAGTTTATGTTTAGTTGAATAACAGTATTTTAATGTTTTTGTTATAAATTCTCTGTAAAATTATATCCTGATGAGTGACCTCTGAAGTCACGAAACTGATTGAAGAAATTAATAAAGGAGGTAAAAAACAGAAGAGTATAATATTCTAGTGTTATTTGTATCCACAGGTGAAACTTGTTGGTGTGTAGGTTTTATATATATATTAATATGTGACAAATCTGTTCTGTACCATGACAACTAGATGATCCACAATAGCTTTATAAAGATACATAGCCTATTCCTGAGAACTGTACTCTAACACATAAAGACAAGTTCCAAAGGAAGTTCCTGGAAACTTGAAAAATGACACTGACATGCTGAGTGGTAAGGAAAATCGCATTACTGGTCACACATTGTGTATATGTGTTAATTCATTGTCAACATTAATCTCGGGCATCACTAAATTGTAACCTACATGTAAAGCCTTTACGTACATTACAAACTAAGTGACTACTAACTTCTTAACTGATTCAACAAGTATTCATATAATGCAGTTCAGCATACATAATGTCATATGTTTACAATAAGTTATGTAACTGTTCACCATAAACCAATCAACAATAAGCATCTTTTACATATAATATCACATAAGAATAACACCATAGTTTAGATTTAGACAAGATGGCTACACAAAATGTAAGTAGTGAACATGCAACTTATTATTAATGTAAGATATCTGTGTGTAATGTAATGAATGTTTAATGATATTATAATATGTCATGTAATGATTATGCCAATAGACACTCACACCTGAAGGGAGAAATAATGTTAACTTAATTCCTCACAAGTATGTAATTATATATACATATATATAATTTTATGATTAGCTCTTTTGGCACTCAACTTCTAGTTTGTAGAAAGAAATAAGTTTTGGTGTGGTTTAATATTTTCCCTATGGTCTTTTACGAGCATGAGTGACGTGGCTATTTTTGTTTCCTAACTATGAAGTACATTACAGCTACATGCATTATAAATTTTGTCTAGCTATAAGTTTATTAAGAATTTTTCTTTTACCAACTATTGAAGCTCTGTTTTATTAAGCAAGCATAAAAATATTTATTTTTATTCATTTCTATTGAAACTTCTTGAACCTACATATTTTTTAACATCATGAATATTTATTTTTATTTATCAGTTTACATTAGGCAATCACCAAATAATTTTCTGTAAGTTACTGTTGCTCTCTTTTTAAGAGAGGAGAAATTCTTTGTATACTTTTTAAAGTGATTTTTAAGAAAGGTTAACATAAAATTATTTCTTTAGTTTTGTAAGGTAAACATTTTTTATTGATGTTTACTTGCAGCCTGGAAATAAGAAAGAATCGTAACAATGATGATGAATAAACACCTCAATGAGATCTCCTCTAATTCTTCTTTTTTCAACTGAAAATAATGTCAGAGATCTGTCCTTGTATGACAACATTTCCATCCCAGGTCCCATCCTAGTAGCCCTCATCTGAACCCTTTCTAGCTGTTCAATGTCCTTCCTAAAGTAAGGAGCCCGTGAATGAACACAATACTACAAAGTCCCCTAGCCAGTGATCTTTACATTGAAATTCTCACCTCTGTAGATTTGTATTCAGGATTTTTTACATGAAACCTAAAATCCTGTTTGTCTTCACTGCTTGAATGGCTTAAGAGACTGATCAGCCAGAATACCACAATCTTTTTCTTCCATAACACTGTTAAGGTTAGTTGCATCAAAATTATATTTATAATCAACATGCATTACCTTGTATTTGTTTTAATAAAAAGTCACTTGCACTTTATTTCTCCAATTTACCAAATGATCTAAATCCTTTTGTAAACCAACAGCAGCATCCTCTTCACAGCTACCAACACCAATGACTGTAATATCAGCAAGTTTAAGTAATTTATTGACCATTCCTTTCTCTATGTTATTGATGTAAATCAAAATGAACAAATGGCTTTACACTGAGCCCTGAAGTACTCCACTTAAGACATTATTTCAGTTTGACTGAACTTCATTTATAGCAACTCTCTGCTTTCTTCTATCTTGACACTTTTCTGTCCTATGAGCCAGCATATCTCACACACATATAAAGATTATTTTTTTTCAACAAGCCTTTTATGTGGCACCTTGTAAAATAATATATAAAAAAATCCTGATACCTCAAATCCATACCTTTAATCTCATCTGCATAAGTAGTAACCTCTTCAAAGAATGGCAAGATTTTCCCCTAATGAAACTATTCAACTAAATTTTAAATTTTGTTAAATGACTGTGCAAAGCATCTTTTATCAGACTTCCAAAAACTTTTCCCACCACGGATATAAGACTAATACGCCTATAATTACTGGGACAATTGTTATCACCTTGCTTGAAAAGAGGAGTAACATTAGCCATCTTCCAATCTTCTAAGCATCTGCCCACTATTTAAGTACAAGAAAAAATATTAGCAATTTGTCACATGTCTAATTTGTAATCTTCTTCAAAATCCTTGGGGAAATATTGTCTGGCCAAGGAGGCCTATCATTCTTTTAATTGCCCAATTTTTTTCTTAAGTTCAGAATTAATGAGATCATTTTATTAAATTCTGTTTTCATCTAGCAACAGTTCAGTTGAGTAATATTGCTTTAATCTTCTTTAGTAAAAATTGAAGAAAAAGTAGAATTTGATAATCCAGTCTTCTCATAGCTATTGGATGTGAGCCTTCCTTTATCATCTCTCAAATGCCTTACTCCCATCCTAATATTTTACATACCCTTAATGTATTTAAAGAAATCCTTACTGTTGATTTTGACATTTTCAGCAAACATTTTTAAATATACCCCTTTTCAGTTTCCAAGTTTCCTTTTGAACTACTTTCTATAATCCTCTAAGTTTCTCACTATAGCAGTCAGTTGAAATTTCTTAAATTTATAATGGTTTTCTTTAATTCTATTCCTTCTACACTTTGTGAGCCAACCCGATTTCTAACTTGCAGCCACCATTTTTTTAATATAAAAAAACATGGCTGTCTTGAATATATATAAATTTATTTTAAAAAATGTTCACATTTGATTAATATTTCCAATTAAACAAATTTCTGATAATTAACTTTACTTATACCCGTCTTTTTGATATTTACTTTTCTCAAAGTTTATCTGTCTGATGCTACTGTTTTGAACTTTCAAACATCGAGATGATGGTGCTGTAATAGCCTGAAATATGTAGAGTTGATTTTAATATTCTAATATTAGAATTTTATCATGCATTAAGTTGTCTAACTTTTTTTGTATGAAATTGCTTGACATTAAGACAGGCCTCAATAAATCCTGGGTGCCAGGTTGCCATGCATTATGTTGTCACTTTTTTGTATGAAGTTGCATAACAAACATTTTATCTAAACATTACAGTTTTTGTTCTTGCTTTTTATCATTAAACAATGTAATATAATTCTCACTACTCCTATTATTACTTGCATAAAGCTTTGTTATATGCACTTTTAGGTTTTAAGTGAAACTTTTTAAATTTAATCAAAGAGAAAAATGAGTATTGTCATTGCCATAATTTGTTTGTTAGCTAGCAGGAGCTGCAGATTGTAATGATGACATTAAGACCTGGGTGTCAGGTTGCCCTGGCAACTAAAAAAAATTTTCATCATGGCATATAGTATTTTCTACCATTTTAACCGTGAATAGGGCTGTGCTAAATAGAACTTGAATCTAGAACAGTTCTGGACTCTTGGAGGTGTAGAACTATTTTTGCATTTCTTGAGTTCTAAATCAAAATTTGTTTTTAGGAGTTTAATGGCAGATTCAGCACTTCTTCATGTTTTTTTCTGGAATATAGCACTGTGGTTACACAACATGTTACTAATTTCGTACTATTTTGTTTTTCTTTTTTCTCTCAATTCAACCAGTCAGCACACATGTTTAGACTCAGATGGGACCAAAGGGAGTTAGTTTAGGCAATACTACCTAGTGGTTGTTGATATCATGTGATCGTTAGCATGCACTCGTTGCTGTGAAAGTAAATAAATATATGGAACCCCCATTTCCCGGTACAAACAGAAGTGAAGTTAGGTTAGGGCTGGCTACTAGATCTGAAAGTATTTTTCAATGCCTGCATTAAGATTAGATAAAAGTAGAACACTTGGAAAATTCTAGGGAATTTGACATCAAAGTTTCTCATAAATTTGAGATTTAGACTATATTTATATGGAGTTCAGAGGCTTCAAGAAAGATAGTTGAGAAGACAGAGAGTTGTTTATAGCTAGTAGAGTGAATCTATCAGTGTGTGTGTGTGTGTGTGTGTGTGAAGACCTGGATAGTTCTAAGGATTTGACGTCAAAGTTTCTCATAAATTTGAGGGTAGATTATATTTATATGGGATTCAAAATCATCAGAACATATAGTTGAAAACACAGAAGTTGATTCTGAAAAGTTAAATGAATTAGTCAGTGTGTTTTAGTGAAGTATTTGAATCTGTGTTAGCTATTGTGCATACTGAGCTACTACATACAAGTAAGTTGATGTTTTATGGTAGTGTAGTGCAGCTAGCAACATTTATAAGCATAGTCTATGAGTACCACAGTGTTTAAGCTTGTAGAAATATTAATGGAGGAAGTAAACCAATTTGTTGTCATTATGTGGACTGGATGATGAATTATTTTCACCAGATAACTTAAAAGAACCCACCAGCAAAAGAACAAGGTATATTAGAGTATTTTATGTGTGAATGTCTGTAGATATAAACACAATATAATAAATAAATAAATATATATATATATATATATATA